CGGGCCCCGCCGGCTGCCCCCTCCGGCCCCGGGCCGGCCGCGGCCGCCGCTCCATCCGACTTCGCGGCCATGTTGGCGGAGCAGGAGGCGGGGAGCGACTTCCGGGCGGCGGGGCGGGGAGGACCGTGTGCGGGCGGCTCCCGCCTCCTGCTCCTCTTCCTCCTTCTCCTCCTCTTCCTCCTCCCCCCTCCGCGTCAATTATTCATCCCCCGCGGCGCCGCCCCCGCCCCTCCCCCACCCGCTGGGTGGTGACCGGATGGGCGCTGCGCCCCCTGGGAGGGGAGGGTGGGGGAGGGGAGGGCAGCCTAGGTCACCCTCCCCCTCCCTCCTCCGAGGCGTGGGGACCCGGCGACGCGCTCTGTGCCTCTCTCCCCGCCACACACCTCGACTCCACTCCTCCCTTTCTTCACCGCCCCCTCCCCTTCCTTTCCCCTTCCATCTCCAGCCCCCCCCCCCCCCGTTTACCTCTGGTGGCCTAGGTCTAAGGGAGGTGTGGGACCGGGGACTTAGAAAGAGGTGGTCCAGTGGACTCTCTGCTTCCTAATTTCCCCGGGTGCTCGCCTATTATTGCATCCCTCTCCTTTGATCTTGAGAGGTTCCTTTCCTTATTGTCTTCCTGTTAAAGCTGCAGAAACTGCAGCGCTCAGAGGTGCTGCCTCTGCCCTTATTTCTCCTCTCTCCCTCCTTCAGGAGCTGCCAGCTTCTGACCACAGCCCTGCTGGGAAAGGGGTAGGAGGAAACGCCAGGTTGAGGAAATAGCCAGGCAGGGGAATCTGAGACTGGAGGGCATGATTTCAAAGAAGAGTGGATCAGAGTTCAGAGAGTTGGGCTACACTGGGTTCTAAGAGATGAGATCAGAAAGGCCTCTCTTCCTGGAGGCCTGGGAATGGAGCCACTGGAGAGTGGGAGCAGAGGGGGTGATATGGTTGAGTCAAGACTTGGAAAGAAGACTGCAAGCAATGAAGTGATCACTGGAAGGCAGAAACAGGGAGAGCAGAGGAGGATGATAATGGCTATTTAGGAGAGGCACTGGGAGGTCTCACACAACCTGGTTGACTCCAACTGATGAAAGCCCTTTCTTTTCCTCAGACTGGACATATTACCTTGCCTCCCAGGGCAGAATATTTATTTTACAGACTCTCACTTACATTTCTCTGTTCCATGCACTGTTCTAAGCACTTTACACTGAACTCATTTTATCCTTACAATTGGAGAGTTTACATTTCCCTCTCCCATTTTACAGATGGAGAAACAGAATCACTTTGAAGCTCACAAAATAGTTCACACACAGTCGATGCTGGAACCAACTTCAAGTTCATCATCTGGCTCCAGAATAGGCTTTGCTACCTCCCAAGCAGCCCATGACATTTCAGTCACGTGCTATGCTTCAGAGAGCTGGACAATGACTAAGGATGACAGCAGAAGAAGAATGGATGCCTTTGAGTAGTGATGTTGGAGGAGAGTACTGATTGTCCCATGGACTGGCAAAAGAATAGATGTCTTAGAAAAGGTGCAGATAGAATGTTTCTTGAAGGCAAGGATGACAAAGCTTTGTCGCTCATACTTTGGGTATGTTGCAAGAAGCTATTCCTTGAAAAGGGACATCAGGCTTGGAAAGGTTCAGGGTCAGAAAAAGAAAGGAAAACCTCAGTGAGATGGATTGACATGGTAACTGCAGCAGTGAGCTCAAGTGTATCAGGGATGGTGAGGATGGTGCAAGATAGGACAGGATTCAGGTTTGTTGTTCACTTTAAGCTGTATTAGAGCTTAAGTCATATTAGACACTAACAACAGCCTCCCAAGCAGAGGGGGAGAGAAGTCAAGAGGAAGAATGGAGGTGGGCAGACCACCCTGCCTTAGAGTAGCAGGGAAGGAAGATGAAGGCTGACAGCTGCCCTGGGTCAGGAACTAGCACCATCTGCAGCCCGGCATCCCTTTCATGTCCAGGGACTGTTTTGGCCCCAACAATGCTCAGGAGATTGGGGCGCCAGCTGTTGCCAAAGCCTGAAAACAGAAAAGAAGAGCTGAAGGTTTCAGAGTTTTCCAGGCTAGATTCAAGGCTGGCAGTCCCCATATCCAGCGGCCCGCGTAGACTCATGGGAGTCTTTGTGGGATGAGATTAGAGGTGGGATCTGGATCCTAACATGTTCTTCATGTTACAACATCTCTGCCTTTTCTTTGTCTTCAATAACCCAAGAGAGACACATGGAGTGTGCACAGCACCCTAGGCCGAGGAAAAGCTATGGCTTTTTCAGCCCTGGGCCAGCATGTTCCTTTGATCCTCCATTCCTCTAGGTGTTTGTTTGAAACACTGGAGCCAGGGAACTTGGATTTGAAATTGTCTTTCCATTTCTGGCTGTGTAAAGTTAAATATGGCACTGTATTTCTCTCCATTTTAGAGAGAAACACCTTCCTTTTAGGGCTCTGGTGAGGACCTCTAACTTACTGACTGCTGTCAAGCTGATTCTAACTCATAGAGACCCTCCACTGGGTTTCCAGAGGAGACTGCCTATCTTTCTCCCTCAGTCACTAGTGGATTTGAACTTTTGAAGACATGAAGCCTTTTGGTTAGAAGCTCAACTACCAGATAGTTTTGGTAGTTACGCAGTCTACTGCTAGAGCTTTTTAAAAATTAAAAAAAACAAAAACAAACCTCAAACCTAAACTCGTAGACATTAAGTCAGAACCAATTCATAGCTGACCCTCCAGCGGGTTTTCACAGGCTGTAAATCACACAGGAGATGACTTATCTTTCTCCCGCAGAGCGGCTGGTGGGTTTGAACTACCTGCCTTTGAGTTGGCAAAACACCTCCTTACTCACTAGCCCCCATGGCTAATGTTTCTAGTTAATGTTAATGATTAGCAAGGATAAAGCTCTCTTAGATCGTCCACCTAGTTGTGCCCTGTTCCCCATCCCTCAGAGAAGTCCTCTGTTGTTTCCACTGGGAGCTGTCACAGCCTTTTTGTCTTTCCCTTCTTAATTAACATTCTTATAAGAGCAATTTCATTTTGTCTGGCTGGCTAGACCAAGAAGATTGAGACAGTTTACCTATTTCCTCTACCACCAGTGTCCTGCATGTTGCCTAGAAGGCAGATATTTAAAAAAAAATCATTTAATGAATAAATGATCAACCTTACAAAATAGATTCCATTTTTCTCCCCCTACTACAAACAAGGTAACTGATTGAGACAAGGGCAGTGACTTATAGAATTATGCAGACCTTCCGTGTACCAGCAGCTGCTGCGTGCTAAGTATTTTACCGACATGACCACATGTTATCCTCAACGAGTCATTGTTTGGGTGAATTAACTGAGACTTGGGGAGGTGCTGTCATTTGCCCAAGATCATAAGTTAGAAATGAAGCATTCACACTCAGCCCTCCATGCTAGAGTTCAGGCACCTAACTTGGGGAGGGGAGAGAAAGGAAGGATTTGGTGGGGAGTCTGAAGTGTGGTTTTCCACCTTTCGAGGGACTTTGCTACTGCAGATTTGGGGCTTCAGACAGGAGACAAAGGGGGCAGGGGTGATGTTCAATAAAGAAGGGCAGTTTGGACAAAGGCTATGTGATGAGAGAGACGAGGCTTGTTCCATGACTGAGAAGAGGCTGAATCTGTGGAGGGAGAAGGTGGCCTACACCTGGTCAGAACAATTCAAACTTTGGAGGATCTCATGCAAACATTTCTGTCCATTTTACAGGAAGGAACACTGAGGCCCTGAAAGAAGTTTTGTAGCTAGTACCTGACAGGAGCTTGGTGTCTGGGTTCTGCTGGAGTCACCTTTAGGTTTAGTCATGATCATATTTCCTCCATTTCTTTGGAATTCCTTTCCTCATTGACCTTTGTTTCCTCCACCAGAAGATGAGAAGGAATGAGACCTCTCAGGATCACAGGAGGGAGTGGAATACTATCCCTGGGCCAGTCCCTCTGTTTGGACCAGTTCCTAATAACCTCTCTTTATTTCCTTCAGAGTGTTTGTACCTATAGAAACTGTGTCCAAGATAACTGATCAAGCATTGTTCATAACAACAAAATATTAGGAAGGACCCAGATTTCTGTAAGTTGGGGGCTTTCGAAATCAATCATAGAACCTCCCGGCAACAGGCTGACATGTAACAACAGTATTGGAGATAATAAGGCTTTCTTTCTAAGTCCTAATAATATATTAAGGACTCCCCAGGGAAAAGTGAGGGGAGTGGTGATATTAATAATCTAACGAATCTCACTGTCAACCCAAAGGTGCATGGTTCCAATCCACCAAGTAGCTGCTCTGTGGTAGAAAGATGGGCAATCTCCCAGACACCCCCCACCTCTGCCATGTGATTTACTGCCTCAGAAAACCCACTGGAGGGTCAGCTTTGAGTAGACTTGGCAGCACAAAACCACGACATATATACAAAACCACAACATAATATATAAAGACACCAGGAGTTTGCAAAAAGAACAGGAAACGAGGCTTATTGGAAGGAGTAAGCAGAAGGAAGGCTAGAATGAGGAGGGACTTAATCATCGTACCTACTTGGAACTCTTTTTGAATTCTAGGCATGTGTTAACATAATAATGAAAGGAAATTGTGATCTGGTGCCACTCCTCAGCTCTGGCTTTATGTGGTCATGTAGGAATCAAGAATCAGTGCCGTCAAATTTTCTCATATTTTCAGAGGCCAGAAATAGGTATTTTCCATGTAAAAGTCTCATGGTTTTCAATCACTGGCTTCAATATTTTTCCAAGGTTTTCCAAGGCAATAAATAGGTCAGTGGGTCAGACACAGCCCGAGGGCCACCAGTTTTCAGCCTCTGCGTAGGCAGTGTCCTCCTCCCAAGACTTGGAGTTCTCAGCACTCCATGTCCCAACTCCCATCTGGACAGCTGCAAAGAGGGAAAAGCGCCCTGCCTTGCCCAGGCTTTTGGCACCCTCCACCCGCTGCACCTTGGGTCTGTGACATTTGGAGCTTTTAACTCATGATCTAGAAGGCAGAGAGGGTGGTGACCTCTCAGATAATTCCCTCCCCAGGGGCCCTGCAGTCATCGAGGCCCAGCTGCCTCCTAGTGCCCACCCATCTGTTCCTGGGAGG